ATAAATCTTGAATTAAATATAGACTGTTAAAATCTACACTTTGCAGATCTAAAAAGATAAATTATTATAATCTATACTAGGCAAAAATTGTATGAATTATAAACCTGTTTAAGTGCATTTAAACAAAGCTCTACAAAGAAGCAAACTACTGGACGTAAATTTGCACATGTTACAATCTACACTTAGCAGATCTAAAAAAATAAATTATTATAATCTATACTAGGCAAAAATTGTATGAATTATAAACCTGTATAAAGTGCATTTGAACAAAGCTCTACAAAGAACCAAACTACTGGAGGTAAATTTGCCTAGAGAAACCACACAACAGCCAGGGGCTGCTGGGGTTGGTTCTGCAAGGTCCTGTAAAGGATACACAACTCACCTACAAAGAACAAACACACTTGTATTCTTTCTTTTATCTCTGAATAGAGCATAGGACTGTAATGAAATCATACCAAACTCTTCAGAACTGTGTTCAAGTATTACTGGATTCTACAGCTCAAGTTCACTACAGGAAGAACCCCCGTGTGGGTTCCGGGGCCCCATTGTGGGCAAAACAAGAATAGACCCACTGCCTCCCCAAAAGCATGTCGTAAGAGTCGACTAATTGGGGAGCTTCCTTTGAAGTCGGAGTGCATCTGCCGGAGAGGCAAGGAACCAACAGTCTGTATTCAAGAGAATGAGATCTGTAAAACTGATGCACACACAACACTCAGGTTCTGAAGTAGGACTGCAGTTCAGTAGTGGACAATCAACCAGAACTTTCCGCCAGAGTGTACAGTTGGTGAACGCGAAGAAGAAGAAGAAGACTACAGGAAGAAGCAGCCAGCCTCAAGCCCACCCTCTCAAGTTAGTTGGCCCCTTTCGATACAATATAGTCTTATACTGAGCTAGAAGGAGGCATGGGAGTGACATCCCATGGTGATGGCCAGTGTGACTAGCAAGACCCACTTGTGTTAAGAGCAGTTTTTCAAAATCAGAGGATGTGATTTTAGGACCAGTGTTGCCATGTTCTTAATGTGCTTCTTCTGGATGCTCAGCTTTCAACATATCTGCAGTCATTTTCTCCTTTATATCTATTCCCTTTCTAGCAACACAGTCCATGGCATTCTGGCAACACAGTCCATGGCATTCTGGCAATACAGTCCATGGCATTCTAGCAACACAGTCCATGGCATTCTGGCAACACAGTCCATGGCATTCTAGCAACACAGTCCATGGCATTCTGGCAATACAGTCAATGGCATTCTGGCAACACAGTCCATGGCATTCTGGCAATACAGTCCATGGCATTCTGGCAACACAATCCATGGCATTCTAGCAATACAGTCCATGGCATTCTGGCAACACAGTCCATGGCATTCCAGCAACACAGTCCATTGCATTCTGGCAACACAGTCCATGGCATTCTGGCAACACAGTCCATGGCATTCTAGCAACACAGTCCATGGCATTCTGACAACACAGTCCATGGCATTCTGGCAACACAGTCCATGGCATTCTAGCAACACAGTCCATGGCATTCTGACAACACAGTCCATGGCATTCTGGCAACACAGTCCATGGCATTCTAGCAACACAGTCCATGGCATTCTAGCAACACAGTCCATGGCATTCTGGCAACACAGTCCATGGCATTCTAGCAACACAGTCCATGGCATTCTGGCAACACAGTCCATGGCATTCTGGCAACACAGTCCATGGCATTCTAGCAACACAGTCCATGGCATTCTAGCAACACAGTCCATGGCAATTCTAGCAACACAGTCCATGGCATTCTGGCAACACAGTCCATGGCATTCTGGCAACACAGTCCATGGCATTCTGGCAACACAGTCAATGGCATTCTGTCAACACAGTCCATGGCATTCTAGCAACACAGTCCATGGCATTCTAGCAACACAGTCCATGGCATTCTAGCAACACAGTCCATGGCATTCTAGCAACACAGTCCATGGCATTCTGGCAACACAGTCCATGGCATTCTGGCAACACAGTCCATGGCATTCTAGCAACACAGTCCATGGCATTCTAGCAATACAGTCCATGGCATTCTAGCAACATAGTCCATGGCATTCTAGCAACACAGTCCATGGCATTCTAGCAACACAGTCCATGGCATTCTAGCAACACAGTCCATGGCATTCTAGCAACACAGTCCATGGCATTCTAGCAACACAGTCCATGGCATTCTAGCAACACAGTCCATGGCATTCTAGCAACACAGTCCATGGCATTCTAGCAACACAGTCCATGGCATTCTAGCAACACAGTCCATGGCATTCTAGCAACACAGTCCATGGCATTCTAGCAACACAGTCCATGGCATTCTAGCAACATAGTCCATGGCATTCTAGCAACACAGTCCATGGCATTCTAGCAACACAGTCCATGGCATTCTAGCAACACAGTCCATGGCATTCTAGCAACATAGTCCATGGCATTCTAGCAACACAGTCCATGGCATTCTAGCAACACAGTCCATGGCATTCTAGCAACACAGTCCATGGCATTCTAGCAACACAGTCCATGGCATTCTAGCAACACAGTCCATGGCATTCTAGTAACACAGTCCATGGCATTCTGGCAACACAGTCCATGGCATTCTGGCAACACAGTCCATGGCATTCTAGCAACACAGTCCATGGCATTCTAGCAATACAGTCCATGGTATTCTAGCAACATAGTCCATGGCATTCTGTCACCATGATTCCAACTCAGCACATGCATCCTTCACACATCTTTATGTTGCAGGAAAGGCTGACCCTGCCGCTGTTTACCCACAGAAGATGCCTTTAGGACTCCAACCTCCAACTGTAACCTAGCCACCTGAGCTTTCAAAGACTCAGCATTGAGACAACTGCTGTGATGTTTGCTCTCGATATCTCAGCATTTGTGATCTTGTCCCCCAGGTCATCTCTTACAACAGGTAGCAAGGATGCCTGGGATGTTGGGTCTGAGGGCACATTGATATATCATGTTATTTAGTTTTGAGAAAACCACATACAGAGTGAAAGTGGCCACTGGAGCAGACAGACTTCTTAGCATCCTCTGACCAGCTGTAACAAGTAAGAGAATGCTGTAAGTCAGGGCTATTCAACTGGCAGCCCGTGAGCCAAATCTGGCCCACGGAGGCCAAGCAAGTGGCCCGCAGATCGTTGCCAGTTGTATTGTATTAATGATCTTTTTACGCTCTGGCCCTCTGGCCCGTGACGACCCTCATTTTCCAGATTTTGGCCCCTCAGTAAACTTAGTTGAATAGCCCTGCTGCAAGTGATGGTGGGTGTTTGAGGGTTAGAGGCAATGACAAGTCAAACCTCACTTGGAAACAAATTACTTATTTCTTTTCTCATCTTCACTATACATGTTTACTGTCAACCATCCACAGAAGAAATAGTTGGTGGCCCAGCACTCAATAGGTAGCACTGGCCATTATTATTCTGTGTGAATGCAAACTGTCTTTAATGTTGTTAATCCATCTCCTTTGTTGGCACCCTACTGCTCAGTTGTCAGCTCTTCTCTGATGGACCAGCTGAGATGGTGACTGGTATTGTGGCATTCTACAAAAGCTGCAAAAAAAATATTCACCTATCACAATGTCCCCCTGAAGCTGCACCACCCTGAGAAATCAATCTGGCTGGATTCTAGATACCTTGTTCAACCTCCAAAGAAGTTATCTGGGCACCTATAGCAGCTATATCGGCCCAGCGTAACCTGCAGTCCTGTGCTCATAAGAATGAATAAATTGATATTTTTCTAGATAAGTTTGAAACAAAGTATTGCTCCTATAATCTTTCTGATAATGTTCTTTCCAGTTGCCCTTCCAGTTTCAACTCTCAGTTAATGAGGATCCTGCATTTGTTAATCATAACCATCATGTGCCTTGCCAACTTGCATAGGCACTCATGCATCTCCACAGATCATGATCCCTGGAAAAGCTCTCTTGGTGATATCCCTCCATGCCAACGTTTTAGCCCATCCAGCATCATCTCTCTTGGTCTGCCTCTGCCCCTTTTTCCACTAATCTTTCCAGTTGTCACGATGTTCTCCAATGTCTCTCTTCTCATTATGTGGCCAAAGAACAGCGTTTGTCTCTTTCTTATTGTAGCGTTTGTCTCTTTTTTATTGTTGTATATAGAGATCTACTTTCATTAGCCTCTTTCAAGCAATCGTTGTTAGTTACTCTGTCCGTCCCAGGTATTCGTAACATTCGTCCCAGAAACAACATCTCTGTTGCTTCCAAATTCTTCTTAATTTGTTCAGTGACATTCCAAGATTCGCTGCCATACAGCAGAACAGGTTCTATGTAACATTTTAGCCCCCTCTTTTTACATTAAATTAGAATTTGATAATAAGCAAGAATAAAACCTTACAAGAATATTAAAACAGAAGTTCTACAAATACTTTTAGCATATTAAAATTTCTTCACATTACCCACAATACACCAAGTTTGATAACTGTCAATGATAATTTTTAAAAAATAACTAACTGCAGTAGCTTCCCTTAAATGTAAATAAAGAAATTAAATGATTTTTTTCCCTTTAAATAATTCATCCAGTTTGAACCAATATCTTGCTCGTGTATAGACCAGAGGCTCTGAACCTTCCTAATGTTGCATCCCTTTTATACAGTTCTTTATGGTGTGGCCACATCCAAACATACAATTATTTTGGTTGCTACTTCATAACTTCAATATGTGTTTTGCGATGATCTTTGTCAACACACGTAAAAATGTCATTCGGCCCAAAAAAAAAGGTTGCAACCCAAGGCCAAGGCCTGATTTGTTCATCTCCTGTAGCTCCCTACACGTCCATTATGCATCTATATCTCCAACTCTCTTTTCTGTGTGTTTAAACATATTATTGTGAATTTTTCTTATAAACTGTAAACTTTCTAATTTCAGTCTCTACAAACTGTAAACTCTGAATGTGTCACTTGAAAAAGTACACTGACTTGATTTCCCAGAAACTCACAAGCAAAGACAATAAACCAAGAGTACATTAATGAACCAGAATCTCCCTGGTCTCTTTGCTGGTGTCAGCGCTGACGGCAGGCTCTGCTGCGGGCTGAGTCCAGTACCTCTCCATGACATGAATGATCTCAAACATCACCTGGAGAGAACAAGCACATATGAACATTCATCAATGACAATTCTCTCTCTATCTCTATTAGCAACTATTTCATCTCTCTTAGCAACTACTTCATCTCTATTAGCAACTACTTCATCTCTATTAGCAACTACTTCATCTCTATTAGCAACTACTTCAAATACATTGTTCCATAATTTTTTTTTTTATTCTTCTTCTACGATCACTTTTAACAAGGCAGATGGGTCCGGCTCGCTAGTGAAGTTGGTTAAAGCTGACTTCGCTGCGACCGGGTGGGGAACTCCTTGTGGTCCAGGTTCACGCCCAGGGGTAGGCAGGAAAGCCACATTTCTCCCAGATTTACGGTACGTATCATGGAATCAAGGCTTAAGGGTTTCGATATCCATAGTACTGAGCCAAAGAGTTTACAACTTATGGTTTCTGGATACTTGAAAAAAAAATAAACCAGATGGCAACTTTTGTTGTGGTTTGCAGTTATGCTGCCATCTTGCACCTTTCAGCCCAACACATCTGATGTAAGTCGCGGTTGTTCGTCCAAAATGGACTTTTGGCTTTTACCTTGACCTGAGTTTTGCATGAACATCCGTTTTACTGGCTTATTTGTTCGCAGTTGCTCGTTCCCCGCCTCTCCGGCAGATGTACTCCGACTTCGGGGGAAGTGCTGATTCAATCCATAGGTGCCACAAGAAAGATGCACGCTCTCAAAATATATGATTTCATTATGACGATCAATATTTATCATCTGACATCATTCTCAGTCACATATCAGTCTTTGTGTATCCATTTTCTGGTTCTGACAATGAGTTTATCATTACAAACTGAAACCAGACATTCCGGCCCAGCTTCATCTTGAATCTTTCCCACACCGCGAGAGAGTGTACAACCAAGATGAGAAACAGTGCGTGTTGGAGATTCAACACAGCCAACCATCACTGTGAAGATGGCACCTGATTGACTGATTGAGTCTTTGCATCTATTCATCCTCATCCCATAACACTACGTGTCATTGGGTCACCAGTTTCTGTTGACTGTCTGATCATCTCTCTCTACCTTTGGCGGTCAGTTGCGATGGACTTCATGATTGCATGCCTGAGGCTTGTCCAGTTTCTTTTATTACAGGCCCCATTAACATATGGGTAAGTCTGTATGTAGCCAGCTTGTAAGTTTCTTAATAACTAACCAGTCATCAACTTGAAGTTTGTGTGTAGCCAGTTTGTAAGTCTGTATGTAGCCAGCTTGTAAGTTTCTCAATAACTATAACCAGTCATCAACTTGAACTTTGTATGTAGCCAGCTTGTAAGTCTGTATGTAGCCAGTTTGCAAGTTTCTCAATAACTATAACCAGTCATCAACTTAAAGTCTGTGTAACCGCATGGCTCACCTCAACCAGAATTAAGATTATAATCATGACCTCCAGCCTCACATGATGTGTGTTGTTCAGCTGTGTAATCAGTAACTCCGTCAGATCACAACAATGGTTCAATTTTTGGTTCATGACCTGTAAATTAAACACAGATATTCATTGGTCGCACACAGTTTAGACATTTTTGTCCAGTTCTGATACAAAGATGCAAATAATTTCTTCTTCTTCTTTGCTTTCACCAGCTGTGAGCTCTGGCAGAAAGTTCTGGTTGTTCATCCACTTCTGGACTGCAGTCCTGTTCCAGAACCTGAGTGTTGCATGTGCATATGTGTGACAGATCTACTAATTTGCATGCAAACTGTTGGTTCCTTGCCTCTCAGGCAGATGCACTCCGACTTCGAAGGAAGCTCCCAATTAGTCTACTCTTACGACATGCTTTTGGGTAGGCAGTGGGTCTATTCTTGTTTTCCCTACAATAGGGCCCTGGAACCCACACAGGAAAGTGGCAGTTAAAGAAGTTCAGTATCATAGAATATTGCACAACCCCATGAAGTGACAGTTCAAGCTAAAGTGTGATAATGAGCATAGGGACACAAATGACGCTCTTGCCAAATAGTGTTATAGCATACTGAAGTAACTAAAAAGGTGAAGCTTGCAAATTTGCAAAGTAAAACGATTACTGTGGATACTTCCTGAATGTGGAAGAAGATGGCAAACATTGTCAGGACAGAGATGTATCAGAAGGCAGAGCTAAAAGACTCTAGTATAGAAAGAGGGTAGACTGAAAAGCAAATGAGAGGACACAATAGTAAGGCATAAGTGAAGACAATCTGGATTATGCCTTCATATTCTTTGGATTATGCCCATATTCTCTGGATTATGCCCATGTTCTCTGGATTATGCCCATCTTCTCTGGATTATGACCATATTCTCTGGATTATGCCATCATATTCTTTCTGGGAGGCTCATGGAGACATTCTGTTAGCGAGATCTGACCATCTGTTACCTTTCAAGAAAACAGAATTCTCGGGGCTATTCCAGGTAAGAGAATATGTAATTATTAGGTTTGGTGCACTCTATGTTTTCTAGTCTTGTCAAATGCTTCCCTATTCTATACCGCCTGTTATAACAATATTTCTTAGGTGGCAAACTTCTGCTTCCTCACTTTAATCGTTTATTGAATTTTACTTTGATCTTGGTTCAGCACTGGACAAGAATGATATTATTAAAGCTACATGAATTTCATGAAGAAGATCCAACCAACCAACACTCTGTATCCTTAGTAGTAGTAGATGTAGATTTTTACCCCACCAGGGCATCACACAAGTGATAAACACCCGATGACACAAAGTGCCACTATGTGGATGAGGATCACCTGCGGAGAGGTCCCAGAAACCACATTCAGCCATTAGACCATATTTATGGTCGGGCTTTATTGCGGCCCCTGGCAAGAGCCAGAGTAGGGCTTCAAATAACGAAAAATTGCATCTCAAAAGGAGATGGCTGGATGTAAATAAAAAGACCGTCGTATTTTGTCTCTGTATCCTTTCTAGGTTGGTGGATATGAGAGTGCAACCTGGAGCACCAGATACGAACATTTCACTAAAGTTACACAACTTCTGATTAATCAACACAGAATGAGAGCCATCAGTCATTTTACTCTTGTGAAGCTGCTGTGGAGGAGATCGGGGCATCTATGGGTCTGTTCGTAGTGCTGTGATGACAGTCCTTACTAATCACAAAAGATGTATTGTTTTAACTCATGTGGTTACTTTCCCTTGCCTTGCACACTATAAAAGTAAACCAGAGAGAGTTGAATGATACAAGCACACTGATCTTGGTTCTCCTGGGAATACTCAAGTAGTTACATAGCTGAATGATACAAGCACACTGATCTTGGTTCTCCTGGGAATACTCAAGTAGTTACATAGCTGAATGATACAAGCACACTGACCTTGGTTCTCCTGGGAATACTCAAGTAGTTACACAGGGAGACATATAAAGGCTCCAGAGCCTCTCTGTCCCAGTAGAAGTCTGGGGTGTCCAACAGATCGGAGCTCAAGTTGATTCGATTCCTGCACAGGAAACATAATCAATTATCAATAAAAACAAACTGTGAGCGAATTAAGGCTGTGCTGGTGTAGTGGTTAGTCTGCTCATCTGCCAAGAGACAGGATTATTTTATTTTTCAACCTGTGTGGCTCCAGGGTTTGACAAATGGGCACCTTTCAGTTTTATGTGAAGGAAATATGAGGAGGAAGGCAACAGCCACTGACTTAATGCACTTTATCATCTTTGTGATGGATTTTGGACTATAAAATATGCTGTGTTGGTGATTCTGGGACATACAAGTGATATTCAGTTTGTATGTTTGCGATACATACTAGCATTGCCAACTATTACAGATAGGTTCAGTTTTCAAAGTTCAAAGCAGCTGCACGCACAAAAGAAAAACCTCTTGCATGAAGCCCTAGATAAAGCCAAGGATTATAAACTGAAAACAGGAAAGTCTTCGATGGCACAAGCAGTGGACACAATTTAGACATGTGCTTGACAAAACTGGGTGAGGAGAAGCGTGGGTCAAAGTGTAAAAGCAACAAAATAAAAAAAAGATGTGTAGGGTTTTAATCACATTAGGTTACGAAAGCAGGGACTGGTTATCAGGCACTGCACTGCAGAATTAATCTGATTTGATTTGATTCAAGAACCAACATCACAGCATTTGGGGCATTCCCATAAGCGCTCCGTCTCCACCTTCAGCAGCTAGCGAAGAGTTCCGATACTAATGGTGCCAGTAGCATTCTGATTAAATGTCCGTCTTGCCTTTCCTGAGCCTCGAGCATCTGCTAAAACCTCTCTTCACTTCCCACTGCATCAATCTCATTAAACAACCTATTAGTGACAATTCTTGCAGGCGAAGTGATTATTTATGCCGAGGAATCTGTGTAAAAAACAAGTATGTTATGTAACATGTTATGTTGATGTAACTCTGTAGTAACGCACCTGACATCGAAAAAGAATAGCCGAAGCTTTAACAATAAAAATCAACAACCCCCTCCACATCCTGCCTATCTCTCCTGGCATGGGTGATCATGTTTCTCCACATCCTTTTGAGCTCTCCTGGCATATGTTTACATGTTTCTCCACATCCTGTTGAGCTCTCCTGGCATGGGTGATCATGTTTCTCCACATCCTGTTGAGCTCTCCTGGCATGAGTGATCATGTTTCTCCACATCCTGTCTATCTCTCCTGGCATGGGTGATCATGTTTCTCCACATCCTGTTGAGCTCTCCTGGCATTGGTGATCATGTTTCTCCACATCCTGTTGAGCTCTCCTGGCATGTGTGATCATGTTTCTCCACATCCTGTTGAGCTCTCCTGGCATGGGTGATCATGTTTCTCCACATCCTGTTGAGCTCTCCTGGCATGTGTGATCATGTTTCTCCACATCCTGTTGAGCTCTCCTGGCATATGTGATCATGTTTCTCCACATCCTGTTGAGCTCTCCTGGCATTGGTGATCATGTTTCTCCACATCCTGTTGAGCTCTCCTGGCATGGCTGATTATGTTTCTCTACATCCTGTATCTCCAACAGAATGTGATAAATATTACACAGCAACTATTGAGTCAATAAAAAAATACTCACCTTAGAGAGAATAATTCTCCTGTTTTCTTCAGCACCTGTTCTCTTGACATGCTAATTTTTCTACCAAGACGCAAGTCCTGCAATTAAATAATGTTATCACTTAACAATGTCACAGCTTAACAATTGTAACACTTTCGTTGCTACTAGTAATCATGCTTCCTCAGCCAAATCTCCATTCTGTATTGACCCCAGTTAATAAATGTTTGCTAGTTTATTAGTGATTGCTTGAGGGTTCACTGTTGTCCACACAACAGTACTTATTTGAGGTCACAGTTAAATTTACTGTTTGACACTAGGTTTATTGTCCATTATTTTTACAAAAGCCTTCTGAATGCTGGCAAGCTATTCTATATTTCCTAATATGATCACAAGAATATCAATTTAAATTTCCGACATTTGGCTAACCTGATTGTGTTTTTTCTCCTGAAGCACAGTCCTCAACCAACTCACGATGAGTTATCTTGTGTATTGACCAGCCCTCAACCAACTCACGATGAGTTATCTTGCGTATTGACCAGTCCTCAACCACCTCACGATGAGATCTTGTGTATTGACCAGCCCTCAACCAACTCACGATGAGTTATCTTGTGTATTGACCAGTCCTCAACCAACTCACGATGAGTTATCTTGTGTATTGACCAGCCCTTAACCAACTCATGATGAGTTATCTTGTGTATTGACCAGCCCTCAACCAACTCACAATAAGTTATCCTGTGTATTGACCAGCCCTCAACCAACTCACGATGAGTTATCTTGTGTATTGACCAGCCCTCAACCAACTCACGATGAGTTATTTTGTGTATTGATCAGCCCTCAACCAACTCACGATGAGTTATCTTGTGTATTGACCATCCCTCAACCAACTCACGATGAGTTATCTTGTGTATTGACCAGCCCTCAACCAACTCACGATAAGTTATCTTGCGTATTGACCAGTCCTCAACCACCTCACGATGAGATCTTGTGTATTGACCAGCCCTCAACCAACTCATAATGAGTTATCTTGTGTATTGACCCGCCCTCATCCAACTCACAATGAGTTATCTTATGTGTTGACCAGCCCTCAACCAACTCACGATATTATCTTATGCGTTGACCAGCCCTCAACCAACTCACGATGAGTTATCTTATGTGTTGACTAGCCCTCAACCAACTCACGATGAGTTATGTGTTGACCAGCCCTCAACTAACTCACGATGAGTTATCTTGTGTGTTGACCAGCCCTCAACCAACTCACGATGAGTTATCTTGTGTGTTGACCAGCCCTCAACCAACTCCCGATGAGTTATCTTGTACACTGACCAGCCCTCAACCAACTCACGATGAGTTATCTTGTGCGTTGACCAGCCCTCAACCAACTCACCATAAGTTATCTTGTGCATTGACCAGCCCTCAACCAACTCACCATAAGTTATCTTGTGTATTGACCAGCCCTCAACCAACTCACGATGAGTTATCTTGTGCATTGACCAGCACGTACAAAAACTGTGCTGTCATTGATTAACCTTTGTGTTATTGGTGCCTATAGTGGACTCATATAATAGTGACACAGCAAACTGCCAAGCATGCTGCAGCAGCAAGTAAGGAAGGTTGGTATTAGGAGTTGGACAGCCATGAATATATTCATGTTAAAAATTTCAGTATTTCCAAGATGTCATCATAAAGGTAATGTTGCACTGTTTCATCAAGAATGTGTTTCAGTACATCCAGTTTTTCAGGTTTGCTTTCCAAGCCACTGACTGTCCACATTGTACACACACAACTCTTCACCTGGTGCCTTCTCCTTCAACTTTCTGATTTGGGGGGATACTACACATAGCTAAGCTACTATTGGTATTGCTCTTGGGGTCAGTGACAAACACAAGACCCTTTACCCCTTTATGGTGGTGACACATCAGAGGGGTGCCGTGAGATCTCATTTTCCTCCACACCTCTGGTTTTCCCCATAACAGGGCCCTGCTTTCCAAGCCACTGACTGTCCACATTGTACACACACAACTCTTCACCTGGTGCCTTCTCCTTCAACTTTCTGATTTTGGGGGGATACTACACATAGCTAAGCTACTATTGGTATTGCTCTTGGGGTCAGTGACAAACACAAGACCCTTTACCCCTTTATGGTGGTGACACATCAGAGGGGTGCCGTGAGATCTCATTTTCCTCCACACCTCTGGTTTTCCCCATAACAGGGCCCTGAAACCTAAACTGGAAGCAGCTGAAGTGATTACTGATCGGTAAGGATTATCATCACAGCACTCCGGACAGTTCCATGGTGCTCTGATCTCAAAAGATCCTTCTTCTTCTGCCTTTCTATCCCCCAATGGAGCATAGGACCTCAACCAACTCACGCCAAGTCGTTCTATCCTGTGTCATTACATGGAGCTCTCCCCATGTCCTCCCCATCTGTCTAAATTCATTCTCCGGCTCTCTTCTCCATGTGTTTTTTGGCCTTCCTTTATTCCTATGCCCCTGTGGGTTCCAATGCAAAGATATTCTAGTTATGCTGTTTTCCTGTTTTCTTAGTGTGTGTCCTATCCAACGCTAGCGTCCTCACTTCTTGGTCCACTGGAGCCTGTTTAGTTCTCTCCCAAAGCTCTACGTAAGTTATTCTATCATACCATTTAATTCCCTCTGTTAATGAAACAAGAAAGCAAGCCAATCATGTTTACCTCTGTGACATTCTCAATAGATTCAACAAACTTGTTGAATGAAGCCTCCCACATTGCCAGTTTGACTGACTGTGCCAGAGCATTAGAGAAAGCATACATCTCCAACAAGGTGTGCTGACTGTCCCCAGCACCATCCTTGAGCTGAATTAAGTCACCAGACAGGCTTGTGTTTCCCCTGCAAACAACAAAATTTGGCTCACACATTTAACTCTTTTAGTATCAGACAACTGTAATTTTCTGCATTTCATCTGAAATATTCCTTACATTAAACATCAAACTGTGATGAAGTGGTTAAGCTGTTTGTCTCACATTCTTAAGGCGTGGGTTCAATCTCTGAGATCCATGTAGGCTGTTACAGGAGCTGTAGAGATCTTCATCTTCTTCTTCGCGTTCACCAGCTGTACACTCTTAGCGGAAAGTTCTGGTTGTTCGTTCACTTCTGAACTGCAGTCCTGCTCCAGAACCTGAGTGTTGCACGTGCATCAGTTTTACAGGTCTGATTCACTTGAATGCAGACTGTTGGTTCCTTGCCTCTCAGGCAGACGCACTCCGACTTCAAAGGAAGCTCCCCAATTAGTCAACTCTTACGACATGCTTTTGGGAAGGCAGCGGGTCGATTCTTGTTTTCCCCCACAATGGGGTCTCCGGAACCCACACCACGGGGGAGCTATAGAGATGTCTGCTGTACCCTCTCATTAGCTGACTTTTACAAAATGCTTGTTGGGGGAGGAAGGGTAGGTCTATCCTTCCCCCCCCCCCCCTTTTTCCAACAAGGGGCCCTGGAACCTACATGGGAAACACACCAGCAAATAGTAATGATGAACCAATTTAGAAGGAATTTCACTTGAAACTATAGGTAATCAAAGAAATGGCAATATCAAAAAGTTGTTGAATAAATGGTACAATATAATACGACATAGAAAATGTCATTTACTTGGAAATATAAACAATAAACAACTGAACTGATTCGTCATTTACTATAGAAGCAACTGGCCGAAAGGTAAAGAATGCAGGGCTCTTATGTAGCAGCCCCAGGTTCAAATCTTCAGTAAGGCTGGGGATTTGCTTCTGTCTGAGGTAAAAAAAAAAAAATTCTAACCTGCACAGTCTGTGGCCACATCAACAGTCATCCAGCCCTAAATCCTCAGGTGCTCACCCCCCCCCCTTTTTTTTCGCTGCAAAAGTGGTAAATGTATGCAGTAGTGGCAGGTCTTGGTTGGTAAGTCATTGACTTGGAAACATGCTTTGTGACATACACTAGGGCTGGCACATACAGTAGGGCTGGCACATACAGTAGGGCTGGCACATACAGTAGGACTGGCACATACAGTAGGGCTGGCACATACACTAGGGCTGGCACATACAGTAGGGCTGGCACATACAGTAGGGCTGGCACATACAGTAGGGCGTGGCAGCATGACAGTAGAAATGCCACATACAGTAGAGCTTTAGCACATATCTGAGTAGGACCGCCACATACAGTAGTACTGGTCACATTTAGTCAGGACTGGCACATAAGATAGCACTGGCACATACACTAGGACTGGCATATAAACTCAGGAAATCGCACTTACCTCCATAACCTGGCACATACAGTAGGGCTGGCACATACAGGAAGGGCGGCACACCAACTAGGCAAGCACATACACTAGGGCTGGCGGGATAAAATAGGGCTGGAGCATACATAGTAAGGCTGTACAACTGGGCAGTGGAGAATGAGGGCTGGCACATTACACGTTGCGTGACATGGGAGTTAAGCAGTAGGGCTGGCACATACTTTAGGACGTCTTCGAGCACATAAAGTAGGGCTGGCACATACACATAGGGACAATTAGCAGAAGTACTTTAGTAGGGCTGGCTTCGGAGAACTGAGCACACATGGGTATGCCCAATGTGCAGTACATTACTTGTGCTAACAGAACATAAAATACAGTAGGGCTGGCAGTACGAAACCCAAGTTCAGGTGTCTCCTACGTAGGACTGGCACTACACTAGGACTGGCACAACAGTAGGATGGCAGGCAGGTCAGTAGGGGCGACGCACATACTGTAGGGCTGGCACATACAGTCCCTTCCCCAGCTACACTAGGGCTGGCACATACACTAGGGCTGGCACATACACTAGGGCTGGCACATACACTAGGGCTGGCAAATGGACACTAGGTACGGGCACATTTTTTTTTTTTTTTAGGGCTGGCAAATTACAGTAGGACTGGCACATACAGTAGGACGTTGCATTTACACTAGGGCTGGCACACTGGCACATACAGTAGGGCTGGCACATACAGTGAGTTGACTGGCACATACAGTAGACACTGTACAGTAGGGTTGTTTTTCATACAGTAGGGAGGCACATACAGTAGGGCTGGCACGTTTGCAGTAGAAGGCTGGCACTAGGATACAGTACCAGTAGGACTGGCACATACAGTAGGGCTGGCACATACAGTAGGGCTGGCACATACAGTAGGGCTGGCACATACACTAGGGCTGGCACATACAGTAGGGCTGGCACATACACTAGGACTGGCACATACAGTAGGGCTGGCACATACAGTAGGACTGGCACATACACTAGGGCTGGCACATACACTAGGACTGGCACATACAGTAGGACTGGCACATACAGTAGGACTGGCACATACAGCAGGACTGGCACATACTCTAGGAGTGGCACATACAGTAGGGCTGGCACAGACACTAGGACTGGCTGTGTATGGCTCTCAAGAATATCTTTTAGCAGAAAGCACTCAGAATATTTATTCAACATCATTATACCTGGCATAGGTGAAGTCCATCTCCTCTCTTTCATAGAGCACCAAAGATGGTGTATAAGATCCTTGGGAGAATTTACCTAACATCTTCAAGAAGGTGCCTCTCTGTAAACAGAAATGAAACAACAATAATAAAATACAGTACAAGGAATAGAGGACAACTAAAAGCATATGGAGAAGGGAATAAGAGACATGGATCAAATGGGAAGGAAATTAACATAGCTACTTGTGGAGAGACATGTCAGAGAGACCAAGGGACAGGAACCAGAAAAAAAAATTGACAAGATACACCTGCTGCCATGTAGACAGACTGGGAACAAAGACTAGAGAAAGCACACCCCTTAAGAGACACTTGTGAAAGTCAGGTTACTAAGTCATGGGCTTGACAAATCAATACCTGCTGCCATGTAGACAGACTGGGAACAAAGACTAGAGAAAGCACACCCCTTAAGAGACACTTGTGAAAGTCAGGTTACTAAGTCATGGGCTTGACAAATCAATACCTGCTGCCATGTAGACAGACTAGGAACAAAGACTAGAGAAAGCACACCCCTTAAGAGACACTTGTGAAAGTCAGGTTACTAAGTCATGGGCTTGACAAATCAATACCTGCTGCCATGTAGACAGACTGGGAACAAAGACTAGAGAAAGCAAACCCCTTAAGAGACACTTGTGAAAGTCAGGTTACTAAGTCTTAGGCTTGACAAATCAATACCTGCTGCCATGTAGACCATGTAGAGAAAGCAGACTGTGAAAGTCAGGTTAAAGACTAGAGAAACAGCAAACCCCAAACCCCTTAAGAGACACTTGTGAAAGTCAGGTTACTAAGTCTTAGGCTTGACAAATCAATACCTGCTGCCATGTAGACAGACTAGGAATAAAGACTAGAGAAAGCAAACCCCTTAAGAGATATTTGTGAAAGTCAGGTTACTAAGTCATGGGCTTGACAAATCAATACCTGCTGCCATGTAGACAGACTGGGAATAAAGACTAGAAAAAGCAAACCCCTTAAGAGACACTTGTGAAAGTCAGGTTACTAAGTCTTAGGCTTGATAAATCAATACCTGCTGCCATGTAGACAGACTGGGAATAAAGACTAGAGAAAGCAAACCCCTTAAGAGATGCTTGTGACAGTCAGGTAACTAAGTCATGGGCTTGACAAATTAATACCTGCTGCCATGTAGACAGACAGGGAACAAAGACTAGAGAAAGCAAACCCCTTAAAGAAACACTTGTGACAGTCAGGTCACTAAGTCATGGGCTTGACAAATCAATAGAACTCACCCGATGATATGTGATGAATTACTTCTTCTTCTTCTTCACTTCCTCTTTTACCACTGTGGGTGTCGAGGGAGATATAAGGTTCTGTTTCTAGCTCTTCTGGCTGCCTCGCCCATAGGCACATCGTGATGTTGTAGAGTTTCTCTGATGTTATCCTTCCATCTTGTTCTTGATCTACCCCGTGGTCTACGTCCTTCTTCTCTTTCCATGTATGCTTGGTATGGTATGGTGTCACAAGGCATTCTCTCTAAGTGGGCAAACCATTTCACTTGCTGTCTGTGTATGTAATCAGGAATTGGTTCTGTGCCGACTTGTTCTCTTATGATCTCATTCCTGATCTTATCTCTTATGGTCACTCCTACAGCCCTTCTCAGACATCTCATTTCCGTGGTTACTAATTTTCTTTTATGGTTTGTTGTGAGTGACCATGTCTGGCACTGGTAGCACAGAGTTGGAATAAATATGCTTTAAATAAGATGTCTCTTTGTGCTCATTTGGATGAATTACTAATGTGGGAAAATCAAGAAAGAAATGCAAGAGACAGGATTCCTTTCTTGATATGCCTGATGGAAATGGAAAGGAAGATTAAAGCTTTCCAATGTAAATGCTATAGATGCATTTTACGATGTAGTTATTTAGAATACAACAATAATGAATATGTCAGAAACAAAATACACAAATCTGCAGGACATTGGGAGCCTCTTGGCAGTGGTGAAACGTCACAAGGTAGCTTATTTCGGGAACGTGGTGAGACATGATTCGATTGCAAAGACTACTTTAAGGAACATTGGAGGGTAGTCGAAGAACAGGAGGGCAAAGAAGAAACTGGAATGATATCATCATGAAATGGACAGGACTAAGTTATCACACACTTATTCATCAAGCGGAAGAAAGAGAAAGATGGCAGGTTTTAACGGGTCAAGGGTTATGTATGTCCGATGGCCTATACTTCAGTGGAAATTAAAACACTGAGAAAGACATAGTTATTACAAGTAAATTACTGAAAGTGATCAAAATGTATGTGATTTTAAATACGCTTGTCTCACCTCAATTTCAGGAACACACCAAAATATAACCGATCCATCTCTGAAAGTAAAAATGGGTAAAGAGATATAAACAGGAAATCAAGAAACAAACCTGTCATAATTCCCCTTCCCAACATACATACGCCTCACAAACACAAGCAGAAAATTTAATACAGAATATGGATTTAAGATTTATCTATCTTTTATTATACATAAATTTTTTTATTACTTTCTTTTTTTTCTCCCCAGGAAGAATCTGAAAACTTCAACTTCTTCTTCGTGTTCGTAAACTCTTGCGGAAAGTTCTGGTTGTTTATCCACCTTTTGGAATGCAGTCCTGTTCCAAAACCTGAGTGTTGCATGCACATTCGTTTCATAGGTCAGTTGTATGCAGACTGTTGGTTCCCTGCCTCTCAGGTAGATGCACTGTGACCTTAAAGGAAGCTCCCAATTAGTCGACTCTTACGACATGCTTTTGGGTGGGCCGTGGGTCTATTCTTGTTTTTCCCACAACTGGGCCCCAGAACCCACATGGGGATGAAAACTTAATGTTATGGCAGGGCATGCCAGGCCCTTGGTCTTGGTCTAGGAGGGAAGACAAAGCCCTGCTCTTCTGATCTGCAGCGTCTACAGCTGTTTTGTTAAGGTATCATTTTGCATGAGCACCACAAGATCTCCACAATACTGCCCAGACTTTGTACTATAGAGAGGAGAAACTTCATTTCGCCATGGACTGTGATTCTAATGCCTTTCTATGGGGCAATAAAACACTATCAATGGAAAGGTGCCATTCATTTTTTTTTTACTCGATTTAACTTCCAGCAGAGGCCGGATTATTTTTTCCTGACCAAGAGATCTAGGGGAAGTATCAATCCGGGTTCACAAAAAAAGGTACTAAACAATTTTTCTAGGCCCCCGTATGGGTTCCGGGGCCCTATTGTGGGCAAAACAAGAATAGACCCACTGCCTCCCCAAAAGCATGTCGTAAGAGTCGACTAATTGGGGAGCTTCCTTTGAAGTCGGAGTGCATCTGCCGGAGAGGCAAGGAACCAACAGTCTGTATTCAAGAGAATGAGATCTGTAAAACTGATGCACACGCAACACTCAGGTTCTGGAGCAGGGCTGCAGTTCAGTAATGGACGAGCAACCAGAACTTTCCGCCAGAGTGTACAGTTGGTGAACGCAAAGAAGAAAGAAGAAGAATTTTTCTGGGGAACAAACAGTCTGCGAAAGAGACGAGCAAGGGAAATTACATCACTTCATATGCACTGACTAGAGTATTTGAGAACTTCACAACCCACTGGCAGTATCTAACAAGGAGTATTTTACCCTAAAATTATTCATATATTAACATATAATCATCTATTATTAATCCTCATATTAACATTAGCTTGAGGCCTATGTATGCCTGTCACATGTAATGGGAAGTTGTTCATAGGTAAAAGTAAAAAGTAAAGATCCCTTTTTACGCCTTTAGGCGCATCAGGCATATGGGAAGAGCATCCCATATTTTTACAGACCAAACGGCACTAGGTGGGTAATGTGGTCAGCATTACGCCGGCCGTCTTTACTTCCCCAGGACATACATCCTGGTATCCATTTTAGGCTGGGTCGACCTGTGATGCCCCCTACTATGATAAAAATCCACTCAGCCAGCAGTGGGTTTCGATTACGGTACGTTGGAATTACAAGTTGGACTCGCAACGCTTAAGCCACGGACGCCGCTGGAGTTGTTCATAAAGGGACAAATGTGCCATCTGCACCATGTTGTATTTGTGTAGCATTTCTGTGGAGCTGTGGTGGCATAGTGGATCAGGTTCCACTCCAGAAAAGGAAGAATTTGTTAGTACAGCAATGGTAACCCAGCCTCATTAACCGTGTGGGTTCCAGGGCCCTATTATAGGGGGCAAAAAAAGAACAGACCCATCTGACTACCCAAAAGCATGTGGTAAGAGTCGACTAATTGGGAGCTTCCTTTGAAGTCGGAGTACATCTGCCAGAGAGGCAAGGAGCCAGTCTGCCTACAAGTGGGTCAGATCTGTAATATCGGATGCACACGCAACGCTCAGGTTCTGGAACAGGACTGTAGTCCAGAAGTGGGTGAACAACCAAAACTTTCCGCCAGAGTTTACAGCTGGTGAATGGGAAGTAGAAGAAAAAAGAACCCAGCTTCATGAAAATCTGACCCAGACAATGTTCAGAATTTGCAGGGAAGAAATGTGACGAGGAAGGGAACCAGCACTCTACTCAATATGCCAATACCCACAATAGATGAAAACACGCCAACAACATTATCTGCTTTTGGATTACCTTTATATTTTACTTTTAGCAAATCTTTCCAAATGACTTGTTAGCTTTGTATGTTATCCCTGTATCACAGTGGCTCTCAACATTCCTAATGCTGCGACCCTTTAATACAGTTCCCCCTGTTGTGGCGACCCCCCAACCATACAATTAATTTTGTTAATACTTCATAACTTCAATGAACATGTGTTTTCTGATAGCCTTTGGCAACCCCTGTGAAAGGGTCGCAACCAACAGGTTGAGAACTGCTACTCTATAACATTCAATGACCCACATGTTGAGAACTGCTACTCTATAACATTTAATGACCCACAGGTTGAGAACCGCTATTCTATAACATTCAATGACCCACAGGTTGAGAACCACAGGTTGAGAACTGCTACTCTATAACATTCAACATGTTGAGAACTGACCCACAGGTTGAGAACTGCTACTCTATAACATTCAATGACCCACAGGTTGAGAACTGCTACTCTATAACATTCAATGACCCACAGGTTGAGAACTGCTACTCTATAACATTTAATGACCCACAGGTTGAGAACCGCTACTCTATAACATTCAATGACCCACAGGTTGAGAACTGCTACTCTATAACATTTAATGACCCACAGGTTGAGAACTGCTACTCTATAACATTCAATGACCCACAGGTTGAGAACCGCTATTCTATAACATTCAATGACCCACAGGTTGAGAACTGTTACTCTATAACATTCAATGACCCACAGGTTGAGAACTGTTACTGTATAACATTCAATGACCCACATGTTGAGAACTGCTACTCTATAACATTCAATGACCCACATGTTGAGAACTGCTACTCTATAACATTTAATGACCCACAGGTTGAGAACCGCTACTCTATAACATTCAATGACCCACAGGTTGAGAACCGCTACTCTATAACATTCAATGACCCACAGGTTGAGAACTGCTACTCTATAACATTTAATGACCCACAGGTTGAGAACTGCTACTCTATAACATTTAATGACCCACAGGTTGAGAACTGCTACTCTATAACATTTAATGACCCACAGGTTGAGATCTGCTACTCTATAACATTCAATGACCCACAGGTTGAGAACTGCTACTCTAAAACATTCAATGACCCACATGTTGAGAACTGCTACTCTATAACATTCAATGACCCACATGTTGAGAACTGCTACTCTATAACATTCAATGACCCACAGGTTGAGAACTGCTACTCTATAACATTCAATGACCCATAGGTTGAGAACTGCTACTCTATAACATTCAATGACCCACAGGTTAAGAACTGCTACTCTATAACATTCAATGACCCACAGGTTGAGAACTGCTACTCTATAACATTCAATGACCCACAGGTTGAGAACTGCTACTCTATAACATTCAATGACCCACAGGTTGAGAACTGCTACTCTATAACATTCAATGACCCACAGGTTGAGAACTGCTACTCTATAACATGCTCAATGACCCCCACAGGTTGAGAACTGCTACTCTATAACATTCAATGACCCACAGGTTGAGAACTGCTACTCTATAACATTCAATGACCCACAGGTTAAGAACTGCTACTCTATAACATTCAATGACCCACAGGTTGAGAACTGCTACTCTATAACATTCAATGACCCACAGGTTAAGAACTGCTACTCTATAACATTCAATGACCCACAGGTTGAGAACTGCTACTCTATAACATTCAATGACCCACAGGTTAAGAACTGCTACTCTATAACATTCAATGACCCACAGGTTACGAACTGCTACTCTATAACATTCAATGACCCACAGGTTAAGAACTGCTACTCTATAACATTCAATGACCGACAGGTAGAGAACTGCTACTCTATAACATTCAATGACTCACAGGTTGAGAACTGCTACTCTATAACATTCAATGACCCACAGTTTGGGAATTGCTACTCTATAACATTCAATGACCCACAGGTTGAGAACTGCTACTCTATAACATTCAATGACCCACAGGTTGAGAACTGCTACTCTATAACATTCAATGACCCACAGGCTGAGAACTGCTACTCAATAACATTCAATGACCCACAGGTAGAGAACTGCTACTCTATAACATTCAATGACCCACAGGTTGAGAACTGCTACTCTATAACATTCAATGCACAAGTACAATAAAGAATAGCACAATGTTTTTGAGTTACCGTTTCTAATGCTGCAATTTCTAAGGCAAGATTTTCTAATAACATTATTTCTGTCATTTCTAAAGGCAATGTTTTTAATGTTGCCATTTCTAACAGCGCAATTTCAAAACATGTGATGGCCGACATTTGAACCTATTTAACATCTAGTAGACTCGCTGCCCCTACCAAGCATGTCACACTTGTAGACTAATTTGGAGTGTGAGCTTGTTACATCGAGAGATAAGAGTTGGAGAGAGAAAGAGAGAGTTGAGAGTTACACAAAGAAGATGTGAGAGTTTTACAGAGACTGAGGAAGATAGAATTTTCAGAGTTACACACACACACAGAAAGAGAGACAGAGACACACACAGAGAGAGTTGAGAATTTTATACAGAAAGGTGAGAGTTAGAGAAAAAGTTGAGTTATAGATAGAGAGTTCAAACTTACACAGAGAAAGAGAGAGTGAGAATTAAGAGTTAAGAGAGTTGAGAGTTGCAGAGAAAAAGTTGAAAGTTACATATACATACACATTTAAACACAGAGACAGAGAGAGAGAGGCAGACAGATAGACAGACAGAGCTTATAACATAATCTAATTCTTCTGGAGTAACATATCTAAATTCTTCACTACATACTGTCTTCAACAGGATATGAACCCTGACTTTGCCAGTTAAAGGTGGACTTATGCTCTTGAAGACAAACTCAGCCCGACAGACTGATGACCGATAAACAAAGTCTAATACATCACAACCTACTCAAAGACAAATATTTCCTTGGGTCTCTGTTCCACGTTGTACTTGCCCCTCACATGTAGCGCCGTTGTTACATCTGCAGAAACAAACAGTCAGGGGTCATTAATTCATGTCAAATGAGTCAAAGCAAGCCATATTTTAAGTAAAAATAGCGTTAAATATATGCAGACAGCATCTAAACTGTGTGGTGAACAACAAGCATGTCAACCCAATGATAGCTGACTAGCTGACAACATTCCATGAAATGGCAATCAACAACTGATCATTTATTTCTTGCGCTACAGCTGTGTAGAAGATAGCCAGTTTGGTTCCAGTACAAAAAGACATGACATTGACATCTGCTGATTAGGAAACAGTGTCCATGCTTTCTGATAGGTCAACAAAACAGTCATGTATGTCATATCTACATTTTCTGACAGGTCAACAAACCAGCCAAGTATGTCTATATCTACACTTTCTGACAGGTCAACAAACTAGTCATGTATGTCATATCTTCACTTTCTGACAGGTCAACAAACCAGCCATGTATGTCATATCCACAATTTCTGACAGGTCAACAAACCAGACATGTATGTCTATATCTACACTTTCTGACAGGTCAACAAACTAGTCATGTATGTCATATCCACAATTTCTGACAGGTCAACAAACTAGTCATGTATGTCTATATCTACACTTTCTGACAGGTCAACAAACCAGTCATGTATGTCATATCCACAATTTCTGACAGGTCAACAAACCAGACATGTATGTCTATATCTACACTTTCTGACAGATCAACAAACTAGTCATGTATGTCTATATCTACACTTTCTGACAGGTCAACAAACTAGTCATGTATGTCATATCCACAATTTCTGACAGGTCAACAAACTAGTCCTGTATGTCTTTTATCCACGATTTCTGACAGGTCAACAAACTAGCCATGTATGTCTTATAAACAAAATATTCTCCAGATGACCCCTTCTAGTGACATGCCCACAGATTGTGAATTTTATTTTAATAGAAATGTCAACAATCTCAAGTCAACTTTTGTCTTCTTTATGGCAACAATCTCAAGTCAACTGTTGTCTTCTTCATGTCAACAATCTCAAGTCAACTGTTATCTTCTTTATGTCAACAATCTCAAGTCAGCTGTTGTCTATTTCAAACCTTGTCAAATACCACTTTAACTCATTCTTTCTCAAGAGTTGCGTCTGAAAGCTTTAAATCAGGTCTGAATATGGAACAATAAAACATAATAAGTTAAACTATCAATGTAGATAGGGCGGATCTATATAACAACAGCATGTGAGAAAGAAGCAAAAACATTATAATGTCTTTTGAGTGACCAAAAAATATATGGTTGTTTGGCACTGATAAGAATTAAATATATTCAAATTTAAGTGCCTCAGAAATGAGATATCTGAGAAAGGTGGTCCAAGTGACAAGAAGGGACAAAGTCCGCAATCAGACAATATGTCAAGATCTTGAAACCCAGTGCTTACAAATCCGAGTGGATCAGTCACAGTTACGAAGGTTTGGGCATGTATGCAGAATGGGAGAAAATCGGCCACCATGGCAGGCATGGGAGGCTAAGAACCAGGGAACCAGACCTCCAGGGTGACCCAGGGTGCGCTGGGAAGACACCATCTGACAGTCCCTAACTGACAGAGGACTGGAATGGAACAAAGCCAGAAAGAAAACTGCTGATAGAGACGTCTGGAAATCTCTCTGGCAAACCTCTACACCCCAAGGTAGAAGAGGAGTGACTAAGCAAGTAAGTAAGCAAAATTAAGCTTGAAAGTTTACAAAGGGAAACTGCTATATACCTGCTGGTAGCCTGCCCACACTATAGAGTCCTTGTTTAGCAATATGTGCCTCCAGACCGGATAGGTTAATTTCCTCTGCTACAGCATATGCCACCACATTGTCCATCTGCAGTGCCTATAAATATAATAAGCATTACAATAAGCAATTTAACCAGTCAGGTCTTGGTCATATATGACTGAGCTACCGTATAACAGTAGCCGGTACCACCTGCCTTCTGTTACGCCGAATGTTGGGCGGGGTATACCAAACCTAACATCCCTTATTGTGCCAACGGTTTCGGTCGGAGGAGCGCATTGGGGAGGATACTAGCCTTATCCTAGAAAGAGGAAATGCAACCTGAAAACTGTTATGGCAGGGCAGACCAGGCCCTTCGCCTTGGCTGGCAGCTGGTCTAGAAGGTAAGCTCCGACAGGCGGACAGATAGAGCACTGCTTTTCTAATCCGGCAGCTTCTGCAGCATGCTTTGTTCCAAATGTACTGGTGTTACCTTTCCTTTGGAGCAAACAAGGCAGGTTGAGGGAGGGATCATGATGCATGGGCAACATATGGTCTCTACAATACTGCCCAGGCTTTGTGCTATGGAGGATAAACTTCATCCCTGGCCGTAATTGACACTCACCATCGCCATGTGTTGTGAGTCTCATGCCTCCTCATAGCGCAATATAACACTATCATCTGGAAAGACGGAAAGGTGCCAATCAATCAAATCAATCAAGCAACTTAACCCTTTTCATGCCTTAGTCATTTCAGGTCTTTGGTGCTAACTACAAGGAATATTTCAGCAGATCAACCTACTCTTGATAAGGATCAACATAACTCCAGCTGCATTTCCTTCTTACAACATTTTCTTGGTACTTAAGTAATACTAGATACAACTGGGAGCCCTGATTAATTTAATAAATTTGCCTTAGTACCACTGCAATAGGTCTCTGCAATAACCATATTAACATTGACAATCTGAGATAGTACATCATGAAATCAGAAAGCTAAATATATAAGCTACACAAAGAATGAAAGACAGGCAAGAACCAATTATTACTTATTATCATCTGTGGCAGGTTTTTTTGTAGAGCCTCTTGAAATAAAAGATCAGTACACAAACTGATACATGTTGGAGACTGCAAGACACAGAAACACTGATTTCTGGGTTTATTACATTTATTTCCATCTCAAGAACATCAACCAAAGCACAGACTCTGTAGCTCCGGTGATGACCACAGGGATCTCCAAGCGGTTGTTTCTTTGAACCTGAACGCCAGTTAGAACATTATGAATAGGAAGGGAAACTGTGGCCCCACAACCTTAGGGTACTGGGATCTAGATTAATCCAGAAATGTGAAGGTACAACATTTCCCACCTCAGTGGCAGCATCCACCATTATCCTCATCACTGAATATTTCAGACCTCAGGCTGGTTGGGAAGCTTCCTGATACTCCCATTCCACAGACTCCCATTCCACAGACTCCCATTCCACAGACTCCCATTCCACAGACTCCCATTCCACAGACTCCCATTCCACAGTTGTCAGTCTAGTGCCTCTCTCCTTAACTCTATGTACATCTGCATTGGTGCATTGTATTATAAGTGCAGACATAGTGGTTCAACAACCAACAGAAGACAACTCTAGGCCAGGGGATGTAATCATATACACTGATGGCTCAGTGGCCAGGATCAGAAAGAGTGGATGGGGCTGTACTGCACAATTATAGGTCCAGCAATATTGATATACACTCTGACTGGTCCAGCAATATTGATATACACTCTGACTGATCCAGCAATATTGATATACACTCTGACTGGTCCAGCAATATTGATATACACTCTGACTGGTCCAGCAATATTGATTTACACTCTGACTGGTCCAGCAATATTGATTTACACTCTGACTGGTCCAGCAATATTGATTTACACTCTGACTGGTCCAGCAATATTGATTTACACTCTGACTGGTCCAGCAATATTGATTTACACTCTGACTGGTCCAGCAATATTGATTTACACTCTGACTGGTCAAGCAATATTGATTTACACTCTGACTGGTCCAGCAATACTTATATACACTCTGACTGGTCCAGCAGTATTGATTTACACTCTGACTGGTCCAGCAATATTGATTTACACTCTGACTGGTCCAGCAATACTGATATACACTCTGACTGGTCCAGCAGTATTGATTTACACTCTGACTGGTCCAGCAGTATTGATTTACACTCTGACTGGTCCAGCAAACTGACAGTGGCTTACTCTAGTGCTTGTAGAAAATGAAGAGAAATGTAGGGCAATTGAATAAATTAAATTCTTCTTCTTTGTTTACCCACTGTAAGTCCTGGTTTTTCACCTATTTGGACTTTGGCTTTGTGCCAGAGCCTGAGTTTTGTACATTCATTTTATTGGCTTACTTGTGTGCAGTTGGCTGTTCCTTTCTGCTCAGCCAGATGCACTCCGAGTTGCAAGGAAGCTCCCAATTAGTCAACTCCTATGACGTGCTTGACTGGAAGAGTGAGTCTATTATTGCTTTCCCCAAAATGGGGCTGAAGAACTCACACTAGCATTCACTACATTAAATCGACAACCTTGACTAGAATCCCATAACTGTATGTGAAAAGGGGTGAAGCCACACACAAAAACACTAAGCAAACGGCAAAGAAAATAGCACATCAACCAGCATCTTCTGCCACTACACACTAATTTAATGCAGTTCAGCATTTGTTATCTCAGACATTTTTTCCCAGCAGAAAAATATTCACTTTATCACTGTAAAACTTCACCTTTCTCAAAGATAAAACTGCTCACACTTACCCTGCCCTCCTCTGACACTGGGGGAGTTTTCTTTCGTGCTGGTCTCTTTACTTGCAAAGCTGAAATACTTTTGGATACATCTGGTAGTGCTGAACTTTGTGAAACTGTAGTTGAATAATCTGATGTGTTTGATAGTTGGGGCATCATGCCACGGCTTGTGAGATTCCCAGCTGCAATGCAACTTTTCATTGTCTTGTGGCTGGAAGATGCTGAATAATGAAATCCCACTCTTTGGCATCCATGTAAATGCCTGACATAAACAGTCAGGCATGGCCATATTTTGGTCATCTTGTCATTTCTGGATGTATTAACAATGCTGCCAAAGGAAACTGTAATTGGTGTCTTTATGTTTCTTCCACTGAAGCTGTTACCTGAGGCTGACTTGCCTGAGAAACTTGAACATCTTGTGGCTGTCAACAGTTTACGGGCAAACATCAGACTCATGCTGATCTGTTTCATCTTGTCATTTATATATGACCACTGAAAGCGCACAGGCTAAAAAAAAATTAATATAATGGGCAAAAGTCACTTTCACAGGAGTATGTGGAAGTCAAACAGATTAAGTCTAATATTTAGTCTTTTTAACTCTATTATCTAAATAGTACTGTTGTATAGGGGGGAAAACATGCAGAATCACTAAATCTATAATTAATGACCAATAAACTGCAAACATCCCTTAACCCACTGACTACCAACATCGCACGTAATGCGACGAGGCGACGTTTACTTCCTTCTGCCAACGTCACACCCTTTGCGATTTTAGCTTTGGACGCTTGCCGTCATGTTAAAATCGCGATTTTTATGATGAATTTAGTTGAAACCTCTAGCTTATTCATTTCTGTATGGTTAATTAAGGGAAATAACTTCGCAGTGCTTGAAGTAAATATTTTACGAATTTTTTTAGTTAGCTCCCATGACGGTGAGACATTGACGAAAAATATTCATCATGGCGTCAAATTATCGGAACCATCGTGGTGGCCATATCTCTCCTAATTTTTCTAATGATGCATTCGATTTTCTTGATTTTGCTTCAAAAAGTGCATTTGAAGACACTTCTGAACAGTTTGATGGCTATGACTATAATAAATTTAACGAAGTGCCATTCAAAACATCGTCGGCTGTAAAACGACAGTATGACGCTTCGAAGTCGTCTGACAAAGACAGTCACAGTGTTGTCGGCTGAAAGCACTAGTGCTGCAGTTTATGTGAGAGTATTCAATCAAAGCCCACAGATTATAAAGATTTTGTGCTTGAGTCTGCAACTTTTTTTTCTTGAAATCTGTTCTTCATTCAGTTTGGTGCAAAAATACAAAATATTGTGAGATTATATCAAATAGTTGTGAAGCTATGGCATTTTTAGTAAACACTAAAATACGTGGTATCTGGGGAAATGCAAGGGTTAATGGGCTTGGTAGTCAGTGGGTTAACTGGTGTTTTACTAGAATGAGAGGAGGTATAGGGTATGACAAAATTGCTTTCACAGAGCTCTGGGAAAGAACTAAACCAATAGCAATCAATCAAGAGAGAAGGAAGATACTGGCAATGGACAGAACTTACATCGTGATAATCTTCATAATAGTATTGAATTTGGTAATCTGGGTCTTGGTTGCTCCACTCCTGTGCCAACCAAAAACACACACACAAAATGTTTTTAAAATTTAAAAAAAAATCGCAGCTCAAAGTGTCACGCCATGCACTTAACTCAGAAGCTGGACAACAAACTATATCCTTCCAGTCTACAAATGGAGCAAAAAGGCAACGGCCACCGTCTGGCAGAAGCAACCGAAAAAAAATGTGCCATGGCTCAAAAGAGTGGCTGTGCCTATATCATCCATTTTGACCTGAAGCATTATGTGAGGGTTAATAAACGGTCACCCTAGCAGTACCCTCACTATTAGCTGGGGAAGGGACTTAGGACATTACATCCACCAGCAGGCGTCGCCCCTACAATAGTATTCAATATATTTTATATATCCACGTTTCTTATAAGTTATAATGAACAAGCACCGGTATACTTTATCTCTAAGTGTTTTCTCATTATTTTTTAATAAGTAAAATGACATGGACACATCTAGTAATCTTCTTCTTCTTCGCGTTCACCAGCTGTAAACTCTGGCGGAAAGTTCTGGTTGCTCGTCCACTACTGAACTGCAGTCCTGCTCCAGAACCTGAGTGTTGCATGTGCATAAGTTTTACAGATCTCATTCTCTTGAATACAGACTGTTGGTTCCTTGCCTCTCCGGCAGATGCACTCTGACTTCAAAGGAAGCTCCCCAATTAGTCGACTCTTACGACATGCTTTTGGGGAGGCAGTGGGTCTATTCTTGTTTTCCCCCACAATAGGGCCCCGGACATCTAGTAGTACTAGTAATGAGAAGAAGAAGAAGAAGAAGAAGAAGAAGAAGAAGAAGAAGAAGAAGAAGAAGAAGAAGAAGAAGAAGAAGAAGAAAAAAAAAAAACATCAGATTCAGTAGTTAGTACTTTATCAACATTTTCTAATTTATCTTTAAAATTACACAGGCAGCACGTCTGGATAGCATGTGCAACTGTTGTTGATCTCTCTTGATCTCTTGCATCAGTGTTTCAGCTCGTAGTCGTACTTAGTCTTTTTCGTACTTTGCAGAATTACACTGACACTACATTTTCAATATCGAATAATTACTAACAGAGTGAATAATAAGCCACCAGGAACGCACACAACCACAGCAAATTTTTCTGGAAATTAAATATTTCAAAATTACAAAGAAAGTCGCAGTCCGGTCATTCTGATACTGAGTAACATACTCTTATTTGGACATAAAAAAATGGTTAGTCCAACAATTCGAAGGAGGCTGCCATATTTGTTTGATTTTTCTTTCTTTTAAAAACTAGACAAAAGGCAACAAAACAAACATAAAAAGTAATACTTTTTATCATGTAACTTCTAATAGGATACGTCTGCACCTCTTATCTTATAATGTTTTTATTGCTATTATAATAACGTAATAAAATTGAAAACAGGCCGGTTAAAGATGCAAAAAGTGTGTATAAACAAATTAACGATCTAATCGACATATGCTTCGTTAATATAAATTTATGTAACCTATGGTGCCATTTCAGTGGGTTGAAATGAATTCTGTCCGTATTCCATAGTTGTGGATTTCAAGCTGCACGATAGACATGGCCAATAAGACACCTTTTTTGGGGGGTGCCTGGTTGACCATTTTCTTAGTGCACTTGTATCCATGGCGAGGCGCACACGCCGTCTGGAGGTGACAGGTTCAAATCCAGGCACGGTAACTATAGCTTTCGATTGTTATGTTGTCTAGTGTGTTCTTCTATCTTTCTATGAGTGCCGATCAATAAATTTTCTGTTACTTTATTAATATATAACTGGAAGAAAGATACGAGTAAACATAGAATGTCTGAAATCAAAAGCAGGAGAGATCTTAATGGAGGAAGATGATATAATAACTAGATGGAATGAATACATAAGAGAGTTATATGATGGAAAGAGAGTAGAATTACCAGAAGAAAGAAATTCAGAAGGTCCGTTTTACTAAGGGAAGACATTGGCAATGCTATTAAACATGTGAAAAAAAAGGAAAGTCAACTGGGCCAGACGAAATTTCAGTAGAAGAATTAGAAGTACTGGGGGGATTTGGGGTAGAAATATTAACTAAACTGTTGAATGACATTTATAAATAACACCGGGTACATTCCAAATGATAAGATGAAGTCTGTATTTATTGCGTTACCCAAAAGACCAGGAGCAATTGAGTGAGGAGAATTTAGCTCACATTTAATGTCAGAAAGAGGGTGCTAAAATGTTACACAGAACCTGTTCTGTTGTATGGCAGCGAACCTTGGAATGTTACTGAACAAATTAGGAAGAATTTTGAAGTAACAGAGATGTGGTTTCTGGGACGAATGTTACGACTACCTTGGACGCCAGAGAAACTAACAACGATTGCTTGAAAAAGGCTTATGGAAGTAGATCTCTATATACAACAATAAGAAAGAGACACTGTTCTTTGGTCACATAATGAGATGAGAGACATTGGAGAATATCGTGACACCTGGAAAGGTCAATGGGAAAGGGGGCAGAGGCAGACCAAGAGAGTTAATGCTAGATGGGCTGAAACAATGGCATGGAGGGATATCATAAAGAGAGCTGTTCCAGGCAACCAAGGGTCGTGATCTGTGGAGTCATATGAGCGCTTATGCCAGTTGGCAGGGCACAGGATGATGATGGTGATTATAACATTTAAGGTTATTTGTAATAATCTATTTGTGTTTTTTTACTGACAATAGGGTGTGTGTGTGTGTGTGTGTGTGTGTGTGTGTGTGTGTGTGTGTGTGTGTGGAAAAGAAGCTGACATAAGATAATTATTTTGCATTGCCTCAAGTTTCCCAAGGTTGATCATCCTGACATTATTAATGATAGTAGCTCCGTAACCAAAGGTTTAATCACACACACATCATATGGGTGGGAAGGGGAGGATGTGGGGGGTTTCTTTCAACTCGCGTGAATTTCTAAGCACATGGGGCTTAGGCTTACATCTGGTATAAATGTGCATTAATAACTATAATAATGTATTGAGATATGCTAATGGGGGAAAAAATGTCATGGACCGGTTGTGTGGAAAGGGAATGAGAGTGAAGGAAGAAGAATTGATTGCAGAAAGGATGAGAGCTGAGCGTCTGAAAAGAAATGGATTAAACACAAATGTTGACATCATTTTTTTTTCACAGTTGAGAAACAATTGTTTATTACTTTGATAATTTATATTCACTTGTAGTGATTAGTCTGTACAATAGCCAGGTCATTTGAGATACCCCAGATCGAACCTATAAACTATGATCAAATTTGGTTACATTTGAAGCTACAGGATGTCTCAAAACAGCTTACCTGTGTACTCAGTGTCAATGTCATTCACTGTTACACTTTTAATTTCTTTTTCAGCATCTTTAGGTTAAACACATCCACTTTCAGCAAACCTCCAGTTTTTCCACCTTTCATAACATGCTTGTTGGCGGGAAAAAAAATATGATCATCATATATAAATATATTAGGGCTGTACAGAATAGTGATTTTCACTCTTCAGCCGAATACAATTAGCGGGACCAATTATTCGGCCGAATACGAATAGTGTATCATCATCATCAGTTGCCTTGTCGACTGGCGTGCGTGATTATTCCTCGCCACAATCCACGATCTCCTGCAGCATGTATTAGTTCGTGTGCTGACACACCTCCATGCCATGCAACAAGACTGTCAAGAATCTTCTCTCGTTGTCTTCCTTTATCCCTCCTTCCACAGATCTTTCCAGTGGTCACCACAAGTTCAATTTTACCTCTTCTCATAACATGGCCGAAAAATGATGACTGTCTCCTTCTGATGTCTGTGATTAATTGTCTTTGGGCTTCCGCCTCTTTCAAAACCTCTTGGTTGCTTTTTTTTTTTTTTTTGTCTAAGGAATTTGTTCTGTAAAACCACATCTCTAAGGCCTCAATAATTTGAAAGAAAAAAAAAACGGCATTCCAGATAATTCTTTAATCTGGATGGAACCAAGCAGCCGTAAGAAAACGTCTATGCCAGTTTACGAATTGTCCTTCCGGTGCCTGTTCGTTCTCAACCAGATAGAGGATCGGTCGCACCTCGAGATAAGTACAAAGACCATTTTTAGCACGCTGCGGTTAACATTTTATACAGTATGATACACTTTGAGTGTGAAACAAGAAAAAAAAAAACTATTTTCGACAGTGGCAAGGAAAGACAGTTTAAATTTAAACTTTTAAGTATCTTTATGTCTCCTTTAATAATGTCACAAATTATAGCTGACTTTTCTTGATTTTCGCCGAGGCACCCTTGGCATGTGCACCCAGTTTGAGAACCTCTGCTATAATGCCTCGGTAGAGTCAGCAGGCAAAGACCTTGCCAGCTGCTGTACCACGCAACCAGGTTGCAGTTTCTCTCGCTACGACAGACCACGTCCTTCTCTATTTATTTATATACAGAAGGACTTGGACAGACTTAGGCAACAGCAACTATTATGTTAATGAGAGTTATTTCAGTCCATCGCAGTGTATGCAGAAACAGGTGTAAGGTAACCACTATTCGTATTCGGCCCGACCGCAAGTATGGTAAGTATGTGTACACACTTGGGGTATGCAGTTCTGACTCGACAGATATTGGGTATAACAATCATTCTTACTGTCTCTGTGTGACATCTGACAGTCAGATAGAAGCACTGCATCACTAGACCCTTGTTCACGCGATGTCAGATTAACATACATTCTACCCATCCTTCCATCTACCCATCCATTCTCTCGTTCACCCATATATCATATCATTCATCCCAATCCACTTAGCCTATTATTCGATGTATCCATCCATTCATCGCTCCCCACGTTTCTTTGCACACATACCCGATGTACAATCCATCACTAGTCTCGGCTACCTACACAGCAGGTATCTCTGGCAACACGATGTTGTTGCGCGTGGGCTCGATTGATACTTTGTATAACAATCGCCCGTACTGTCTTTACTTGCTTGATGACAGTAAGAGAGAAGCATCACAGTATGAGACCCTTGTTTGGACCTGTTTAAATCCCCGGCTCTCTAGCGTAGTTGGCTAAACCGGAGTGCGCGGTGAGCGGGTGACGAACTCCTTGTGGTCCGGGCTCACTTCCGGGGGTAGGCATATAAGCCACATTTCTCCTAGTTTTACGGTATTTAAAATGGAATCAAGGCCGAAGGGTTGCGATATCCATAATACCGAGCCTAAGGATTAACAACTCATGGCTTCTGGATACTAAAACAAAGCAACAAACCTGTTTTAATATATCAGCATACATAAAGGCAGATCTATCCATCCATCTACCATTGCATCTATCTACGAACGTAACCATCGTCCCGCCCATTCATCTACCCACGCCATTTATCTCACCATCCACTCAATGCTGTTTTTCACCGCTTCTTTCCATTTTGGCTGTTACCAGCCTTGCACTTTGGCTCGACCAATACTTTGTATAAAAATCACCCTTACTGTCTCTATTTGATAGCGGACAGTAAGAGAGAAGCACTGTGTTACTAGACTTATCTCATATTTGGTCGATCCATCTATCTATCTAAGATTCCATTCTAGGCAAACCATGCCCATTGCTTATCGACAAAGAACATGGTGATAGTTTAGTTTGGCACATTTCCAAAAGCGACGAGGTCTAATCCTAAGCGGCAAGTGCATTCCCATTCAGATTGTACCAGTAGCAGTTTAATTATACCTTCTTTTCGGTCGTCCGATTAACAGAAATGTGTTGCGCCTGTTTACAGCGATAGACGTTTTCACCCATGCTTTTGGGGGTGAACCAACCAGACTGAACTCTCTTACCTCTAGAGGCCACCAACTCGATCCATGTCACAAAGATGAGCCCTTATCCGTGACACACGACGTGGACGTGAGGCATGAGTCTTGCTTGAGTATCTGTAAAACCATCCAAGAGCCGGCTGGCGCCCGAGGTGCGGTATGAAGTAACTCCTTGTACACATCGCAACATTCTCACACTTGTGATTGATATCACTGCACCACGTTTG